CTGGAAAGCACCAGTGCTGGGGGGGAAGCAGGCAGACTTAAAATCCGGTTCCCCCCAGAACCATCTCTGTGGGGAGTAAGGGAGGCAGAGGCGTCCCTACTGCTGTGCTTCTCCCTCTGAAATGTATAAGAGCCTCCCGCTGCTCTTTTACATTTCAAAGAGAGAGGTGCAGCGAGAGCCCCCCCTTATCGACTAATCAAGTAGTTGATGGAAATTCTATCAATTACTCAGTTGATTAATCAAAATTTAACACCCCTAACCCGTTGTGAAATTGTTCTTTGAAAAAAATGGTGTCACTAAGCTCTGAACTGTCAAACACTTCAGCACATACTTAACTTTACTCATGTGAGTAGTCCCATTGAAATAAATAAGAAGATTTATGTGAGAAAAGTTAGGTGTGTGCTTTAACGTTCGCAGGACTGGAGACTATCAGCGGGTATAATGGAGGGGATTTTTTTCTTTATTTTGATTTAAAACTGAGGAATTTCAAAAAGTAAAATTTGTTATAATATAAAAAAATTACAACCGACTGCCATAAAACCTGTTCATGTCACAACACCCGCCAGTAAAAAAAAAAAATCCATCAGCTGTTTTTTATATCCCACAACCACTTTGTCCTCAAGCAGCTTGGGGAACAGACTGTGTACAGTTTATATGGCACAAAACATCCCTACGTATATTGCCAGACTGGCTCTTCTGCTGCCTCAAGATTTCTTTCCCCTTCCAGTCCACATGGAGCTCTCAAGTGTGCCATCTGGACATGAATCATGCGGATGAGTTCCAGCGTATGTCCCCCACTGCTTTGTCTGGTGGCTGTCTAATATTAATTCGTTCAAATACTTAGGTTTATTACATGAATTGGGATAAAGCTTCCGCTTTTTTTTTTTTTTAAATGTGCATTATTAAAATTCTAAGCCCAACAGGCCAAACCTGCAAACTTCACTCAGCAAATGCTGTCGATAGCTGCATGGGTTTTTTTTCCCCTCCCTCAAGAAACACTTCTGGATTCAGCTTACTATCTACTTCTGTCTGGAGAAAGACATGAAAAACAAGGCAGCAATACTTGTGTGCATGTGCTTAGTTTCAAGGGCCTGAGTAGTCCCACTGACTTCAAACTAAGTTAACACTCAATGGGAAAAGGACTTCCAAATCCTCTACATGGCTTTGAAATTGTCAGCTGGAAGTTTTAAAGTCAACAGCATTGTCATAAGAGAAAGGCATAAGTACTGCACACCAGCTGGCGTGTCCCTGAAACTCTCAACTGTACTCCATTTCACCAAGTCAACTGTAATGAACAGGAGGAGTGCTGACCAGCACCCGGTGACTAAGGGGTTAAGCTGAGGTAGCTAGCAAACGTATTGGCCAGGGGGCCGGGAAAACCAATCAAGATGGAGTATTGAAATTTGAATTGGCTATAGATTCCTTGCCTACTTCTTTGTGTGGGAGAGAAAAACCAGGCGTTGAAAGAAACAGAATGATTTAAACCCAGGCAGGACAGCCATGTTTCCAAGGAATTTGGGGCATGGGAGTGGACTGAACAAAGAGAAATCAGAAGTAAGTAAAAGGGAAAGAAGTGAATCTAGTCGCATTCAGGGTATTTTCTCTTTATTTTGTGGTTTGGTTTGAACTGCTCTGTGTGAATCTGTGCCTCCCCTCCCCATTTACCACCTAGCACTGTGCCCAGAGACTTTTCTGTGTTTTAATTTGTTTTCCTTAGTTGCTCTGTAACATCTGGAAACCACATAGGCTTTATCGAGTTTATCTTTTGTCTTGATGATTTGATCCTTATGTCCTGGAAGGTCTGTCAGTCTGTGTGTATCTGCATACCTCAAACTGAGGGGTCAGCTACCAGAGACTGCAGCTTGTTTTCCTGTTCTTTTTTCAACCTCTTTTGTGACAAAAGAGCTTGGGGTACCCTGGAGGTGGGTTCAAGTGTTCACCCCTAGTTTTAGGGATTAAATCACTTGATGGTGGCAGCTTGTCTGTTTGTTTATTTCTCAGAGCCAAGGAATCTGTGACTCTGGGAAGTTTTGGTAACCAGTTCCAGTATAGGCAAGATTTTGAAGCTCCCTTGCGAGCTCTCACCTTCTGCACTTGGAATGCCAGAGTAGGGAACAGCCATGACATCAACATGTACCATTTAAAAATCCTTTAACAGCGCAAAAACATACCACATCTAAACATTTGAGAAGAGGAGCTCTTATACAAAAAATAGCTTCTGTCAATTTACACAAACACCCACCCAAAAGTGAATCTCATGATACCACAAGACTCCAGTTACTCAGGGCAGTAGAAATCCAGTTAATCAGGGCAGGGAAGAAGTAGTTGCATTGTGTTTAAGTGCCCTTTGCAAAGCAATTTATGAATTGGCACAAAATGCCAATTTTTGCCCTTGGAGGACTCTAGTAGGAGTCAAAGGCAGAATTTTTCCTGAGATTTCTTTAGAAGAAACTGACACTCCTGTTCTGTGGTTAAACGTAAAAGAGGACAAAAATTTGGACACATGTCATGAAAGGGGTCGAGAATTATATAGATGGGTCAGAGTCTTTTTTTCTGAACCAATGGTATGTCTGGGATGATGATGGAAAGAAGTCAAAGTCTTCCCACACAGGTATAAAATTATGGGTTAGAACATCTGCAGATCATAAATAAAGTTACTCATCCTCCTTAAGTGAAATAAAAAAATGTTATGGACTAATTGATGCAAAATAAATAGTGCTCAGATAGAGATTGGCATACTTGTCCATAATTAAAGAGTTATTTTTTTTTAGTCAGGCTAAAAAGAGACATTCCTTGCTTGGGGGGAAAAGAGTGCCATTCAGTGTTGTCTAGTCTGTAGGACCTGGCTAAAATATACAATATATGGTTCTAAAAAGCAAGACCTTTTAGCATCAGCTGAGCATGAATTGTTGGCAACGCGCACACATCTCAAAAAAGAGCTAGAGAGATTCATGGAGGTTAGGTCTCTCAATGGCTATTAGCCAGGATGGGTCAGAATGGTGTCCCTAGCCTCTGTTTGTCAGAGACTGGAAATGGGTGACAAGGGAGGGATAACGTGAGGATTCAGTGTTGTGTTCTCTTCCTCTGGGGCACTTGGTGCTGGCCACTGTCGGCAGACAGGACACTGGGCTGCATGGACCATTGGTCTGACCCAGAATGGCCGTTCTTTTGTTCTAACTCACACCGCCTGCCTTGCGAAGCGGTTACTGAGTTCAGTGATTTATTTCTCACGTTCTCTCTCCTGACAATGTGCATTCTCACCCCCACAATGGATTTTTATAATGAAATGAAGAAAGTGCCCTAGCTTCACAATCACTGATAAATGCAGTAGCTGATGAATACTCAAGGAACTAACTAACAAAAAGCGACACGTGCCCTTATGGCAGGAAGTAGCAGGCCTCTCTTCAGTGGCTCTAATACCAACGAAAGGTTCTGGATTGATGGAGATGCAAGACCTGTGTCAATCTACAAAATAGATTTAGCACAGCCTGTGGCAGTGCAAGGTCTCCTCTTCATATCCCATCAATGTACATTAAATTTACCTGAAGACACATTTGAAAGGCTGAGAGATCAGTCTGAGTGCCTGATCTTTCTGCAGAGACCTCTGAAAAGCATAGTAATTAGTGCCAAGCATAGCTCTGATCTTGATCATGTAAAACCAGCTCCTTAGAAAATGTGTTTTTTCCACAAGCCATCCAACACCCACGAGACACTAATCTCTTTCTAACATCTCGGCCAGGGGTGAGAGAACCCAGAAATGCCGCTAGACCTCTAAAATGTATGCGGTGCTGTAGAGCAGTTGGCTGGTGGATGAGGTTGTACTTTTTTTGGGGGGGGGGGGGGGAGGGACCCAATTAGTGCTGGTGAGAAAGACAAGCCTTCAAGCTTGCCACAGAGCTCTTCAGGTCCGAGAAATGTACTGATTTTAAAATGTGGCACTCTACCCTGTGGGGAAGCCCGGCCAAAAATGCCATATCTAGGTCTCTTCACGCTGATTTTCCTGGTTTCCCCCCTCAGTTATTTTCTCTGAAAGTTCAGATTTTGCAGAAAGTTGTTGCTTTATTTTAATTCAAAACATCTTTCCTACCCTGTGCAGTAGGATAGAGTCTGTGCTTAATTTAGATTGGTCTCATTTGTATACTACTCCTTGAGGGCAAACTCTCTTACTCCTGTGGAGCAGTCTCTTAGTCCACCACCTGTCTCACTGAAATGACTGGGTGGATTACTACTCCACACAAGCCTGAATGACAGAATCTGGGTCTTAGAAGCACAATAATAAAGAGCCGGGCTGAACCTTCAAAAAGTATGCTCAGCAAGTGGCAGCGGTAGCGCTCTGCCCAGGGGCAGAGCAGGAAGGGAGCTGTGATTCGCTACACCAATTGCTGATT